CAACTGCTTTACTCTGATGAATTTGGCAGCAGAGGGATGGGCCAGGAGTGGATAAAGACCAACACAAAGTGGTCTGTATGGGTAGAAACAGGCCGGGAGTCTTAGTCACCATGGCAAAACTCTACTTTCCTATGAACGGTCATAGATCCCAAGGCCAGGCGGGACCCCTGTGATCTGCGAGTGTGACCTCCTGGGTAATGCAGGCCAGGGACCCTCCCCAAAATAATTCCTGTTCGAATTAGGGTAGCACCTTTCAGTGGGGTGCAGGGAAGGGGCATCAGTTGTGCCAGACAAGCCGGGTGGGAGATGTCCATGCCATGCTCTGTCTAGATGGGGTTATTGCGGGTAATGCCAGCCTGGGGTGCTGCTCCAACCCAGGGAAAGAGATGATAAATGAGGGAGCCACAGGTGATTTGGGGGAGGGCACATTGTAGCACCCAGGGACCCCACTCATGGGGCCGGGACCCCACTGTGATATGTGCTGTACAAACACACAACAAAAACAGACACTGCAACCCTTCCGCCTTCCTCGTCGGCCCTTGTTCACGTGGGTCTCGGCCATGTGGCAGAAGGTTTGAAAAGGGCCCGATTCTCCATTTGCCCCCCCCCCCACCTTCTCCTCGCTCAGATCAGATGACTGCCTTGCCAGCTGGGTAGCATTTTACACCCACAATGCACTGGGCTGCATGATAGCACCAAGGTCAAGGGCCAAAGCCTATAAACCCCCAGGGAGCCAATTTTGGAGCAAAAAAGTGTCTGCAGCCCCTTGTGCAAAGGTAGAGTAGGTGCGGCCTAGAGTTGGGGGGAGGGGAGGCTGTTGTGCTAAGCCGGGGCGGGGTGGGAGGTGTGGACCATTCTGCACTGTTGGGGGGGGGGGAGAGGAGGGCCTATCCTGTTTTCGTGGGGGGTGGACGGGGTGACTCAGGAGACTGGGTTTGAGGCGCTCATGGTTCCCTGTTTGTGTTTAGGGAGCTCATTAACGGGATCATGGTGACGGATGAGAAGGACTGTGAGCTGGGCCATTCCAGGGTATGTCGCGGAGCAGGGCGGGGTGACTGTTGCCAGTGGGTTCTGATGGCCTGGCTGCTTTGCTCACGTGGCCCCGATCCTGCAAGCCGAGCCGCCTGAAAACACGTTGAATCCTTTTCTGGGATCGCGTCTCCGTGGAAGCCGATGCCGCAGCTGTCACAGGAACTGGGGTGGGGTGTGGGGCCTGTCAGACAAACGGCAGAAAGGTCTGAGCTCCTCGCCTTGCCAACTTTCTGATCCTAACTCTGCCATCGCAAGGCCAAATCCAGCCATGTTCGCTCACGTTCCCGGGGGGGTTGCGGGATGGGACTGGAGTAAATGACACAGCTGCTTCAGACCTGGACACCCCGTCTCACCCAGCAACCCATGAAGGCGTTGGAGCAGCGAGCACTAACCAGCCCAGCTGGTCGCGTTACTGCCCCATCAGATGTAGCTCTTGGAGGGGCTTGGCTGACTGTTGTTCTTGCTTTTTAGGTCGCTGCGGTCAAGGGGATTACCCAGGTGGTGGTCTCCAGGATCGTCATGGCAGCGCCTGGCATGGGTGAGCACCAGCAACACTGCCCCCGCAATCTGGGGGGGAGACAGAGGAGGCAGCCTGCAACCGGCCAAGCAACCCACCAGTACACGGGCTGGTGGGAGGCAGTGGAGGGAGAAAACTAGGGCTGGGAGCCATTTGGGCGCAGAAAGGA